ATGAAATCATTAATTATAATATTAACAATAAATAAATAAAGCAGATCAATTTAAAGTGTTTTATTAGTTCAGTATTCTCAAATTCTTAATGTCTTCACCGTTGCTATCACAAGAGCCGGACTGTCAAGTGTCGACTGATCAAGGAACTATTGTGCAGAAATATAACAAAAGATCATGGTAAAATGGACTGACAAAACAGTTCTGTAAAAGCAATTATATGTATTATTACACCTATAAGTAACATACTGCTTCACACAACTGTATATTGCTATCCTCTCTTCAGTACTTTCTTTCCTCTTTCTTACATGCATAGTAGTAATCCATTAATCCATTTGCACACACACACACAAAACATTATACTGGTACACAGATGAAGTACTACACTCAGATAACCAAAAATAAAAAAGAAATTGTACAGCAATGCTGACTTAAAAAATTACTTAAACTATACCAAAAAGATGTTAATGTGTCGCATAGACAATACCATACCACTTAGTATTGTGATTTGATTAGTCAGCATACATGTACATGTATTATGATGCTTTATAAGTACATGTAGTTAGACACATCCAAAAATTTGATGAAACTTCGGCCCAGAAAAAGTACTAGAGGTACATGTAGCATGCAAAGCATAGCTGAAATGGTAACTGGATAATCTCACAATGAAAGGTAATTAATGTACATGTAAGTGACCACATGGTTGACATCACTGCTGTATACAAATAACTTGAATTGAGATCCTACAAACCTTTTTATCGAATGTCATCATTACTTGCTATACCAGAAATTTCAACCACTCAGCCAGAGTGTCAGCAAGCTTTTGCAAACTGAACTAAAAATCTCTAATTGCAACACCCTAATAAAATATTTTTCACATACAGATATATAGGGATGGCATATGTTCATACTCATGTTGTTTATGGCTGGCTTGTCCAAATTATTTTCATGTGCAAGAAGAGTTTCCATGATCATAATTTTAAACTGTAGACTGAAGGGGATGTAGTGAGGGCCACCTGATATGGTGAGAGGGAGGAGAAAGAGAAAAAGACAAAGAGACGATGAGAAAAAGAAAGAGAGAAAGAGAGAGAGAGAGAGGAGGAAAGAGAGATAAAAAAAGAGGAACAGAAACTACCAATAGGCAACGGCAGGGTAGGTCATGGACAGGCAATTCCCAAACAAAAAATTTTGATCAGATATGATAAATCCGTAATGACCCATTAATAGTTAATAAAAATTACCATGGCTAGCAAGACATGCAAGAGACAGTCTTTTCTGTTTTGAAGCCTTCATAATAATTTTCAAGAGAATCAGGACTTCACAGATTGGATAAGGTTCCTATTGGGCAAATATATTTATGATACATCATATGCATCGTATATGC